AGATAGATAGATAGATAGATAGAAGGCATGGCAGTTCAGAGCCCGGTCTCATGAAAATGCATATAAATAGTACGCCAAATAAAAACGAAAACTCATGGTATTGATACGCAAAAATGGACTTTGGCGTGTATATGATACGCGCGTGTTTGGCGTGCATATAATACGCAGTTTTCGCGTGCATATGATACGCATCTACCCCACAACCCTAAACCTACCCATCGTGTAGCATATACACACCAAAGTCCATTTTTGCGTATCAATACCACGAGTTTAAATTTTTATTTGGCATACTATTTATACGCACTTTCATGAGATTGGGTTAGCAGTTCAATGCTTTTGCTAAATAAATTCACCCAACCTTTAACACTGCAGAAAAATGAGTCATCCACAAATGCCCTGTGTATGCTTCACTCACCACTTAGTACATTTTTATGAAAGAAGAGTCTTGTATGACCCTCATTTCTGTTCAGAAACCAACTACTCTGCATGCAGTTGTTTAGGCCACTGTCACGTTGAATGTGGATCTCTAGAGTGATCTGTGTCGACACATTGCCACACTTGCAGAGAGGGACCATCTGTCTGAGAGGTTAGAGAATATGTTGTGTTTCTTGAATTGCTCCTCTTAAAATGCTCTGGGCATTTTTGTCCTTCTATAGGAAGTGAAGCTTGTTATGAAATAAGTGCTGCTGTCTTGAGTGAATTGATTACTTATGACTGATGGTAGAAAGTGGAAGCATGTGTCTCTGAGAATACTTATGAAATACTGGACATTTAATTTTGTACAGAAGCATTATGTCCATTCAAATGCTTTGAGGCAACTTCCAAAAAATTGTTTATATTCTAAAATTAAAGACTGGAATACACTGCACGACTTTTAAAATCTGAACAGATTTTAAAACAGGGCATCATATACTTACCGACTTTGTAATAGTCACAGAAGAAAAACTGACCATCATACACTAAACGACTGGGGATCATCCACTACCAGACTTTAAAGTTGTTCCGATCACAATAAACTCAAGCAGAAATGTGCACCTTGTTGATAGGAGACACATGACAAATGAAAACAATATGTTTTCTAAATTCAGCTTAAAATATCAAACATGTTTGATATCCTCTGAATGGATGGAAATCTGTCAACTCAAATCTGCAGACTGGCTCTGACTTTAGGCAACAAGCATCAGCTTCTCCAGACTGCAAATCAGGGGAAAACTGGTGCAAAAATCGTGTAGTGTATTCCAGCCTTAAGTTGCATGATTATTGTATAGGTAAAAAGGGTTTACGGTTAAAATGTTGTAGAAGAAATCACTCTTTGACTTGTCTGAATATATCTATACACTGCTAGACAAAGGTTTTAATGTTTTTTAAAAGTAGTATCTTATGGGCCCTGTGCGAAGTTGAGGTGCGAGGCCCTCTGCAATTTGGGTGGGGGTGGAGGGGTTACTGTAATGAACACGGATTTCTAGTGTATTTTCTTGAGCTTCCCAGGTAATGTCTATGGTTTGAACCATTTCAGAGGCGGCCAAAATTAGAATTTTAAAATGAGTAAAAGCTGTCTACGAACTTGACGTGTGTTGCCGTGCTCACTGACATGAATGCGTAAAAAACACGGTCACACGCACATGCTCATTTTTATTTGATTTTTTTCATCTTTCATTACTGTTGGTCACTCTTTACGTCTGTCTGTGGGTTTAGCAAATATTTAACGAATTAAATGTATTAAAAAGTCCTCAAAACATTAGATTCATCCGCGCTGGAGCTGTGCCGCCGCACAACCCACGCAAGGAAGATAATTCTGCAAACAGCTGCAATTGCAGGTTTTCAAACAGAGATGGCGACAAAGAGGCAAAACTTACGGACTGCAGCTTTAACCAATGAAGACATTTTGGACTGTCTCTGCTTGTTTGCAATGCAAGGGTAAATAAAGAAATGGTTGTTTGAATATGTACAGCGTTTTCAATTAACACTACATATATAAATGCTAAGGAATTTGAGGAGCGGAGTGTCTTATGCCCATATATATGAATTTGAGGAGCAGAGTATCTAGCATTTGTCGTCAGTCATAGAAAGTACTAATTAAAAAGACTGTGCGTAGCATTTCGTCTTTAAAACATGAGCTCCAATAAACTTTATAACATGTAAATTGATGAAAACATAATGCGATGCACTTATTAATTTGACCAGTTTGGCTGGCTTAAAATTGTGTCTGTTCTAATATGACGCTCAAAACATATAGATGTCCGACATTCGCTGGTTAAAAATCAACTCCACTTGAGCTTGATTTTGGTGTTAATAATATAATGACTATATAAGCCTTATATAGCAGGTTTTTTTGCATTTCCTGATAAGTAGCGGTTTTGAACTTATAGGCTACGAGGTTTCCGCCCGACAGTGATTGTAAGCTCTACTGCATACTACATTTTTAACAAGCAGAATAATACATCATCATGATACACATAGTCTGACTTTTAGATATTTAGCTATAATAGTTTTTCGAAGGACAAAAACTTTAAAACTATTGGCTTTACATCAAGTCAGCTGTCACTTTTCCTGCGAGGCCCTGTGCTAGATAGATAGATAGATAGATAGATAGATAGATAGATAGATGCTTTGAGGCGACTTTTTTGAAGTTTTTCCTTTTTATACAGGTGCATCTCAATAAATTAGAATGTCGTGGAAAGTTCATTTATTTCAGTAATTCAACTCAAATTGTGAAACTCGAATTAAAAGAACCAAAGACTTAAACTACTTCAGTCTGTGTGCATTGAATTTATTTAATACACGAATTTCACAATTTGAGTTGAATTACTGAAATAAATGAACTTTTCCACGACATTCTAATTTATTGAGATGCACCTGTATATTTTTGAATATTTATGAAATACCTACTCAGAATGAGTAGTTTAAACAGCCATGTTAACAAGAAGTAGTTTAGATTTTCAAAACAATCTCTTAAAAAGTAGCTGCGTGACACCCTTGATTTTGTACTACAATTTTCCTGTCATCCTCTCTGTCTAGACATCATTCCTTTCAGTCCTCAAAAATATGGGTTATTTGATTTGTGATTTTGTGCAACAAAGCTCAATTTTCTCTCTCGAGGGCTATTTGAACAGTGGTGTTGAATGGCAGAGGCTGCATCCACAAGGCAATCAATGAATGTCGCTCACGCATTGCATTATACTCCACACAATAGCCGCTGATTTGCGCGCAGTTTTTGGCGCTGTAGCCTACTGCCCGGCGCGAGGACGCGTCTGCCACTGCTACTACATGGCAGTAGCGCGCGCCTTTTCCAACTTGTGCCTGATCTACAGCCCAGCAGGCTCTAAAAGAAAACCGAGCAACGGTCCCACTGGAGGGAGACTTTATTTTCTTCTTTTATTTTTGTTTAAGAAGACTGTGTATACTCATACTGTACTGCACTGAGGAACCACAAACACTCTCCATATCTATTCACGCGCAGCTGGAGAGACATTTTGGCAGGTTCATTCGCTCTCGACTTCTTAAAGTTTGAGACAGCGGGTCAGTGAGCGAAAAAGGTGGATTTTCAGTTCGGATATTAAAGGCAATAGGATAGGAGAACGATTGAGGGCACCACTAAAGTGTACATTTCATTCATAGGTTATTTTATTACCCCCCCCCCCCATTTCCATGGCGACGGCACGGCGCGGTCATCGATAAGCGCTCTGTCCGCGAGGGATTTTGCTGTCTACCTGGGGAGGAAATCTGGATTAACCGATGAACTGTAATGGCTAACTAACGCGTTTCTCTTTTGGACTACTGTGAACGGATTTCCAGTCCGCAGATGAAGATGGTTGTGTGTGGATACTGCGCGGCGTCCTGGAGGAGGTGTGTGGTGATGAGTCTCAGACTACTGTTCCTTCTCCCCGCAGGTCTGCCTGTCCGCAGTCAGGGAGAATCCCAATCCGATAACAAACAGATGGACAATATCACCATCAGACAAGGAGAGACGCTCTTCCTCAGGTAGGCGGTGATGGTTGTGCATTTATCATGCTGTCATGTTCCAGTGTCCTGCGTGAAAAGAGCATCAGAACTGTCAAGTGTTTTGCATGTCGGTTCATCACGTTTGTCACCTGATTTTTATCAGTTTATATTATAGGGTAAAATGGCTTAGTTAGTTAAGTCAACATTAGTTAAATGTGCTTGATGTTATTCTTTATTATAAGTTTTGGTGCACGGAGTGTAAACTATTTTAACCCAGTATAATTGAAACCATAAGTTTAAGTGCTGCACTAATTTTTTAATTAAATTCACAACCTGCATTTCATTGCACTTTTTCAGCCTCTTTGAATTTACGAAGAACATGAAGTTAAAACTTGAGAAGAACTGATATGAAAACTGATAAAATTGTGTTTTTGTGGCAAATTAAATGGACTGAAACAAATGTTTAATTACACAATGACCTGAACATTTGCACAGTGCTGAAAATATTAGAATAAATTATCTTATAAAGCAGCCAAAAGTCAGAAGGATGCATCAAAAATGTCAGTGCACTGAAGAAAAAACGAAACAAAAAAACAATAAGTAAAATGTATACTTCATTTTTCTTTTGCAAGTTTTTGCACACATATTTTTTTAAGTACAATTTAATTATGGAATGAAATAAAATCTACTTAACTGATTTATGTAAAATTAGCAAAGGAAATAAGGAAATTTAACGTGGCCAGATAGAGTTTGATGAGTAATTTAATTATTTGAAGTTTATTCTGCAATACTGAAGTACAATTCACTCAGTCACGGTTTGTAAACTTTACTCAAACAATGTAGCACTTAAAAAAACATGCTATTAAAGCATGTAGTTTACTTACAAACATGTAAGTAAGCAAGTAGATGGCTTGTTATCCTTTTTAAGATATGTCTACTCAATATTACCCAAATGAACACAGAGACCTCAATACTTGGTACACAATACAGTGTGGATAGTGTTTGAGTATGAATGGGTCATTTTGAGTAGAAAATGAACTCCAGATGTCACAAAACAGCAAGTTACTAAACCTAACAACAAAAGCAACCATAAAACAGTTTAAATAGAACTCGAAAACAGTGAAAAATTTAACCAATTATTCATGCCCCAGTGCATGATGGGAACAACAGGATCATAACTTTGATATTTACTTAAAGAATCTTTCTAAACATAACAAACAATTCCAAGTAAATATACTTATAATTTCAAACTTTAATTTCTACAAGCTTAAATTGAGTACTAATATAGAATTTACTATTTTTTTTAATTCTTGCCTGAACTAAATTATTTAATTTAGAAATTACATTTGTTTTTCAGTAGTATTTACTTCACCACAAAATCTTTTTTTATCAGTTGAAGACATTGAGCCATTTTGTTCTGTTTTCAAATGTAGTGCATTACCTTCTTTGAGGCCCAGTAGTTCCCAAGTACTTTGCACTTTATGTTCTAAAGGAAACTTCTAAAGGAGTTACTTATGTAAATAATTATTTTAAGCAGTTTGTGTGTGTTTCACTTTTATTAAGTAGCTTATTGTGTTCTGTGTGTTTGTACTTAGCTATAGTTTGTAAATAAAACTGTCCCCCAAAGTGAGGTAAATGTGACAAAACCTCCCGTTGGGCATGTCCTCAATTGGAAACAATATACATAGCTAAGGAAAAGTGTGTGTGTATGTCAACTTTTGCCTATATTGGGGGGAACAAATGTCCCCACAGGGAAAATAAAACCTGGATTCAGCTACATTGTGGGGACTAGCTAACAACTTCAGTGAGGAAAGCAACTTAATAAACATAATAAACAGTGTCTTAATGAAAGTGTAAAAATGCAGAAACTTTTCTGTAAGGGTTTAGGGTTAGAGGATAGATAATATCACTAAGAGTAAAAACAATAGACGTCAGTGAAAATCCCAGTAATGACAGGAAAACATGTCTACTGTATATGTTGGGGCACTTGTGTTGCACACAAAAGGCCAGGCTAGTTATTTTGGTGACTAATGTTTTGGATTGTCATATGTCTTAAAGAAGGGACATGAACTAGTAACCTTTAGGATATTGTCATGACTAACAGGATTACACCAACTTTAATAAAGCTTAACCTCTGTGCAGGGATAGAGAAACTTACTAATGGAGATGACTGATTGACAGTGTATTTGATACACAATGTCTGCTGTTTGCTGAGAATATTAAACATTAAACCAGTGAGGGGTTGTATGATAAAATTGGAAAGATGCATTGAGGAATAGATCTTTAAAAACAATGATAATCTCTGTTGCACACAGTGAAGACATGCGTGAACAAAACATCTGTTTTGACAGATGCAAGCAGTAAGCCATATAAGCCATGTACAAAAATATATTTAAAAAAACTGATTTGCTGGCAAAATATTAAAATTGAGGAGAAGTATAGGGTCTGGTATTTCAAAAAGTCCCATTATGATGTTTGCACAGCTGCACACACATGAAGCACACACACGCAGAAAGGCACAAGGTTTCAAACAGCATGCGAACACCGAGCTGAATTCTCTTTTGCATCTCCTTGCGTTTTAACAGACACATTCACATAAAATTATGACAAAATACCCATCTCGACAGTCGTTCTGATAAACACAGTCAGTTATGTCTTATAGAAAACAGCTGAGAAAGAAATAGGATGTGTATCATTATATTGGATCTGAGCGTCAGGTCTTAAAGGGACAACAGCGTTTAAATACCTGCTGCTGGCATTAATGCTCATCAAACAACAAAACATAGCTTTGACTGTGTTTTTAGATGAATCTATATTTAAATTATACAGTGAACTCTATGCATTGTTATTTTACACGTAATTATTAAATTTCTGTACCTGAATACTACCAAATTTATTTTATTTATAACTTTGTTCTGTTGTATTTATCTATGCTTTGTTCTTATTTTTTACTGGCTGTTCACTTGACTTTAATCATGTTTGAACTTTCTTAGTTAGGTTAGTAGTTTTAGCTGTGGTATCGGAGAAGTACTTAGCTTTAAGTAATAAATGGAAAGGAAACTGAAATATACACTGAAATATTTTTTTTTCTTACTGATCAGAAAAAAGATCTGATCCGTGACTAAAAAACGGTAAAAAAAAAACGAGTTTTGTGATTCGTTGAACCACTTATTTTTAATTAATTACTCTATTTTTTAGCTTCAAAATGTAGATTCATGCAGTCAGCATGCCCTAAACATTCCCTGAATGTTCCCTAAACAATTCCTAAATGTTCCAAATGTGACTGTCTTGATTTTAGTAATATGGCAGTTCATTCTACAGTAAGTTGGAACAAATCTTGGTTATTTCATGTAATGTTTGATAAAAAATGTTGTTTCCTGCAGGCATGCTTCCAGCTTCCTGTATTTGAGTGTTAAATTAAACCTGTCCACAAATATATTGGCTTATTTAAAATTCCACCAAAGTTATAAACCTAAATTCTACGATGGGTGCAGCAGTTTCACTGATGCATTGCCAGTCATTGTGACAGCTGCACAGTTTGCAGTTATTGGTGTCATCATACCCGACCGCCCAAGGTGATGTTTTCAGTCATATCTCCCCCTCAGGTGAACATTAGCAGAAAACGAACTCTGGCAGTTCCAATTACTCTTAGGCCAAAAACATAAGGGCATTACATTAAAATAAGATTCATTGCGTAGGTCCTCAACGGCAAAGGCTAAATTAAAGCCCTCTTACAGAATTATGTGACAAAAATTGAGGGAGTTTGAGGGCAGTGAGTGGGCGTTGAAGTGCCGAACTGTCTGGAGAGGATTATGGTATATGGCAGTTTATTGGCTGGAAGACAAAGAGGAGGACTGTTATTGTTTAAAAGGTGAAATTCATGAGCTACAGAAGTACAACAAAGAAAAGACACAAGTAACAATTAAAATAAACATTTTTGTGAATGTTACGTATGTTATGAAAATAACGCTCATTAACAAATGTGCATATGAGAAAATGTGGTTGTGAGGAAACTACAGGTCACAGATGACAGGTCAGTAAGATTTTAGGATGGTTTAAGCAATTAAAAGAAAGCAAGTTAATGAGGAATACAACAGAAGCATGAATTCACTAGTGCTGTGAGACTTTAAATCCTAGCTTCAGATGTGCAGTGAGTAAAACCTGTTTTCCCTTGAGTGTTGTGATTTCAATGTTTGAAAATCTGTTAGGAAAGGGACTAGGATGACAATAACGAATGCCTGTTTTGTTTGTTGCAAAAAATAAATGAACTGTATCATATGAAAAGAAAAAAGAAAAGAAAAAAGAAAAACTATAGGGTATAAACCAACAATCGAAACGCAAGCCAAACTTGTCGAACTTAATGAATTTCAACACACTGCTTCCTCTCTGGACACAGTTGCCAACCTTGCTATTTTAAAGCTGAGTAGATACGTCCAGCCTACATCAAGAACTCTGATTGAGGAGTAAGATAAGTGGTTTATATTAAAGAATTAGACTTAATTAATCCTGGACCTTGGTGTTTGAATGTAGTCACCTGCACCTGTAGGTTTAGAGTCTAGTGGATGGGAAAGGCACTCACTTTTCCACTTGTGGTTGTTGAAAGCCCTTTGATTTATTGGTGTGCTGCTTTCATAGCTTGTTAATACCACCGAGAGCTGGTACGAAGGCCTTGTGCTACTTGTTGAAACTCAGAGCAGCCAATTTCCTCTCTCCCGGCATTTTCACTCTCAATGTGGAACAAAAAACATCTCTGAGATGCACCTCATTTTAGTAGGTGGTGAAAACATTCGTACCACCTCATGACGGTTCCGGGAGAACGCCCATGCAGGAGGAGTGCCCCTGACTGAGTCTTCTGTGATATTATCTTCCAGCCACTTGTTTGTCTGTTGTTGTTGACACCTGATATATCTGCTGTCGTTATCACCAGCCTCCCAAATGCTGGTGGATAGAAGCAAATCCCTGCAATTTCTGAAGAGTACACCAGGTTTAACCTGCAGATCAATCCAATATTCTCTCTTTCTCTGTGGATTTGTGTTTAT